CACCGCAGGATGAACATTGTGGAATTTTCTAAAGTCACAACTTTTCCCCTTCCTTAGACTTCTGAACTAACTATAACTCAAGAAACATCTGTCTCAAGAACACCGTTCTGAGAAATCATGCTCCTGTACAATATTGATTTTAGCACCGCACTCTCCTGGTGTGACACCGATTCCATAGTCCGGGGCTGATATGGGCCACTCAGATTTCTTGTCTCCACATCTTCTTCTGCGACCGCCTTGGCCAGACTCCACGGTTAGTAGCTAAACATACCACCTTTTGAACGATATACAAGCCTCTGACCTTAAACCCTTTGCTTTCCATCCAATCCTCTTTATGTCTGCGTCACTGACACACGACACACATTACACAAATAACCCACACATACACACCTTACACAATACTTAGCGGATTATTAGAGAGGATGACCACTTTGCCATCGTAGTTCGAACCTGGTCGAAACCTAATTTCAATTTATTCTGTTCAAACCACTCAATGCCCAGATGAATTAGTATGAGATCGTTGGCTCAAAAAAGGTTCAACAGACAATTTCAACTGTACGGAGACTGGTGGCTGAGAGTCTGTACTCACAATGACTCGCCTGAGAAAGAAGTCGAACGGGGCCCTTCCGTATGAATGTCGTATTGGCGATAAGGTGAATTAATTCACCGCAAAGGCGCGTGGCTGTCTGGGATGAGGCTTGTGATGAGGTGTCCTCTGTGCGGGGTAAAGTAGCGGACACTCATTGCAAGGATGCCAGAAATATCCGATTTATATCATCACGATCTTTTGTTTATTGAATAACTGGCTTCTCTTGTTTCAACACTGATTCACCTCTCATCGTTGATACACTTGTTGTGAATAGCTATTAGGTCTGAACAATAAGACACGGCATGGAGATGAAAGGATTGATAAAAGTGTTTGAAATCAATCGTATTTTTTCTTCCTGAGTTTTAGTCTGAGGAGCAGAGTCTGATATTACTCGAGTCTTCATGATCGTCTTTGCTGCGGTTTTAAATTCTGGCCGGCATCATGAACTTCGACGCCGACCGCCACAACATATTCTGGATCGTCGTGTAATAGCGCGGGCCTTTGTGTGCACCCACAACCAACACAATTAATTCACGCGATATTTTTGGGGGTGCTGTATGCAATGAGTTCCTGTACGTGTAATTTAGACTCATAAGCTGCTAACCTGATGCTACCGCAGCATTTTCCATTGGCAGACGCGCGCTGGCACGCGTTTTTCCTCTCCATGGCTTAATATCAGTGTGACCAAATTTCATGAACGTCATCCGTTCAGTAAGCGAGCGCACACCGCGGAAGCTGTATTCCCTGCTTCTGTCGTAAAACTTCTACTCACCAATGTTTATCAATAAGGCATCAAACGGGCATATGAGATCAGCGAATAAATGACATCTACAAAGAGCGCATTACACATAGCAAAATCCACTACATAGGAAAATAGGTTCTACAAGGATACGACAGACAACAGGAGATCAACAGTTCTGGGTCGAGGCATCGCCCTGAAGGCACTGAGAAGAAGCTCGAGCGTCCTCGAGATCGGCAGATGATCGACTGTCGTGGAGATGTCGGCTCGTCCTCGCCTCGCCGTCACGCCCTGAAAGTACAGCCATGAGTCATCCCACTGGAATGCCGATTCCACGCCTGAGTCGGCGTGGCTTACAGTTTTCAGAACATAAATGTCGCAAATATATCGCCTGGTGGACCAAACTTCTATGTAAATCAGGGACGTCCTACGTTGGGGAATCCCCAGCGGTGGTGGTTTGATAAAATTTTTTTGATAGTTGGTTCCTGTTTCAGGGCGCTATTCGCAGTTTGGAAGAATTCCAATGGTCCATGGAGGTGGGAGTCGTAGCAGATGGCAAAAAGGAATTGCATTCTCCAGTGTTCTCTCTAGCGACAGCGCTGATGTAAATATATGATGCGAGATATTAAATACGATGATAAAACAATTAATGGTATGAACAGCAGTCAAAAAGTACATAGCAGAAGGCAGAAAGGAATTAAGGGACGAAAGTGCTTAGAAATATTTTTAAATCATCATTTTTCATGAATTCTCAGTTATGCAATGTTCTTCTTGTGTTGATCATCGGATGATGCGCTCCATATCCCGGAGATGGAGAGGACGTGGTTGCGAAACAGCGTAGAATGCGTATTTTCCCCGGGTTCGTTTCGGAACAATTGTCAACATGTCTTGTGCTTTGCAAAGACATGGTTACAATAATCCCAGAACGGCAAAACCCACCAAAAGCCTAGCTCCCGTCACGTTCTAATGAAGTACGCTGTCAAGCCCATTCCAACTCCGGGATTTGGCTTATAATAGAACCAGTCGGATCGCTCGGCTGACGCCGAGTTCTCCTCCTTCTCTTTAGCTCGGCCTCGATGAGCTGGCCTGCGCTGCTCATATAACACTGTAGTGATCGGATCGATCCTGCTTTCCTAAGCACACGGTTATGTGCATTCGGCCAATAGGGTTATAAATTAAAAAAGCTATTGAACGCATAAAGTGCCTCATTATTTAGGTTTTCGGTTCTCCTCGAATTCCCCTGAGTTTCCTGTTTCACGCGAACTACATACCCCCCCCCCCCTCGTCGACATCGACATTATATAGTAGGACAAGTCGGATCGCCCGGCTAACGCCGAGCTCTCCTCCTTATCTTTTAGCTGGCTTTGCCAGGCGCACTTCATAATGGGAACGGAATTTGTTCTTCACCTAGCTACTCATAATGCGCTCTTTTGATCGAATCGTAATAGATGGAGCAACCCACGCGCGAGCTCACGTCCAGCTGCCACGCGAGCAGCTTGAGCAATGGCTTGGGGTGTACTAAATGGTTGTCTTGTATAGGGTGAGGGTATTATCACAATCAGAACAACATCTTAATTTACTCGATTATGATTACCTTGCAGTTTTGCTGTTGTCAGCTGTTATCCTGTCACCCGCCGTCGATGTTCTCATCTCCCACTCTATATCATTTTCTGAAATCAACGCCTAGCTGATGCTGTGTCCCGCGTTATGAGTATGGTGACCTTCCCATTCTAACTCCCCTTATCAAATCTTATCAGCTGCTAGCACTTCTTGTCACCCACCAATAATAATCGTGTGCCATAGCCTATACCATACCTTGGAACTAACGCCCCAATGCTGTGACCCGCGCTATGGACTCGGTGTTCTCCCATTCTGACGCCTCTTATCAACTGATATCACTCCCTGCCACCCACCAATCACGTTCCTGTCCCATACCCTATATCGTACCTCGGAACTAACGTCCTGCTATTGTTGTGACCCGCGTTATGAATATGATGACCTCCCCTCCTAACGCCTCTTATCGGATCTTATCAACTGATATCACTTCCTGCACTCACCAATAGTGTTCCCGCCACACCCCCTACATCACTTCTTAAAATCAATGTCTCCTGCTACTGGACCGACGCCTATGAAATTTTGTGACACACCAGACAAGGAGCGCACACGCTTTCAAAATGTACTGTTCTCCAGCGGAGAGTACTAGTCCTCATCTATGCGACCGGTGGGGCGTGTCGGCGAGAAGGAGTGCGCACACTGTTGGAGCCGTTCTCAGCCTTTTCGTTGCAACGCCTATGCGACAAAAAGTGGTAGAAAAACACGCGGTTAATTACGAAGATAGTTATTACAGTATGCATTTGTTCTTCAAAAACTGTTGCAAGAAAGACTTTGCCATACCGCTACCAAAAACAGTCCCACTGCCACGCTCCCAACGCGTCCGCAATTGATGAAGGACTGTACTATTATACTGCGAGCTTAGATGGAAACAATCGCCAACAAACTGCACGTCCTACCTGCTATTGGGCAGCATCAGCAACTGAGGAACATAGAATTATCGTATCTAGGTCGTTCTACCCAGCGCTGCATCAGGCGCCAGCGGTCCCAGAAGCGAGTAGTTGGCCGCATGGGAGTTATAAACAGACAGCTGATACCATCCTGATTGACGCCCATACGTCGTCTGCCAGAGGCAGACTTGCTACCCTCCCGCTATATCCATTTACATCCACCCGTCTGCCTACCTCCTCAAGCCGTCAGACTCTCCTCTTCCAAGACGCCTGTATCGGCTTTTGTCGAAACGCTTGGAGCTGAAAATCTATACTTTTTGCCATCAGCTGACTTACCGGCCCTTTTAAGCGGCTAACGACGGCTGCCGCCAAAGTATGAAGGGTTAGCCTAGACGATTCAGCAAGGTGTGCATGCCCACTACAATGGTGCAGACATGGTCACGATAAAGGCATAGTGACGCTGACCCACATCTGGCCTCACCGCAAGTAGAGCCAAAGTCACTGAAGCCTTGAAATCATTCTCATTCTCATGTTCTCTCAGCCGACAATTCACCGTTCAATATTTTAAGACCCAGGCGAGGAGCACTAGTTGACTTCGGTGGGTTCTACACAATGACACATTCAACTCCCATCAATCACATCATTTTCAGCAACAAGCAGTATGCCCCATAGTTTGTTAAGTACTAGATCATCTAGCAGCTTAAATCTTGTGTTCACAAGTAGCACCTATAGACCACTGCATTAGATTTGTCGACCACATATCTACTGCCATTCGGAGAAAATTCCCAAAAATCAATATTTTTCAAACCAGCTATTTAGCTTCTATACACACAATTATATTTATCCGGCAGTAGGAAAAAAGCTCAACAATGCACACACACACCATGACAGAATCCACACGATCACAGATTTACACGACTTATACACTAATGTGGATAATTTTTACAAAAAAATTAGGTGCATATTCAACAAAAAAAGTTTGCCCTAAAAACGAAATTCGTGAATTGTATTAATTATGCCTGCTAACACAAATAACAAAAATGGAAAAAAAGCGATTGAAAGAGGTGAACAAGTCTCGTAGCTCACATGAGGTGCCCATGATGATTCTCAGAGAGAAAAAGAGAGAAAAATAATTCAGATCATTACGGAACCCAATGAAAAGTTCAATCCTTCAAATTTTAAATATCTTCTCTAGTAAGGCTGCTTTCGTTGTATCGCTCAGGTTCTTGTATTCTTCGGTGAGTTTCAACGCTTTTATGTCATTCACACATTTGAACGTACGAACGCACGCGTCCTGCAAAGATAATACTAGTTCAAACATAAAACCAATAATCATAAACAGCAGACGCCGTACCGCAAATACTAGCTTCCAAAAATGAGTTCGCTATAGGCCTTAGCACCAAATTGTTGGATTTAACAGTACGAGCAACTAGTAACGTTTGGCAGTGAAGACTACGAGCCTCAACGAGAGCCCGCAGTCGCAATGATGTCAGCATCAGCATGTCTTGGCGCTCTGTCATCAAGGCGCGCTGGGGACCCTTCAGCGAGATGTAGTACCTTTCGATACTATCCAACAATTCTTGGCCCAAAACTTTTCCACCTACACTTCAACTATAGAGGTCGCACGGGATCATGATCAGGAATATGACATTCGTTTCCTGACGCGGGCCTAGTGATACCACTTGGGTGTCAATTTGGCGCCACAACGTTTTTCACCCAGGTCAATCATAGACTTGAATAAAGGGGTCTTTGGCACCCTTGTCACGAATGTGACGCTATAACACTCAGGCCAGGACAGTGGTTGTCTGCGCCCTTCAACGGCTGAGCCTGGAGGAAGGAAATCACTCTCCCTACCAGAGTCAGTCTTAGCGAGGCTAAGGTTGATTAAAGAATGGACTATAGAGAACGCATACCTGCAACTTTGCCAGGCAATACTGATCTGCCCAAACAAGCTTTGTGACGATAGGTATGTCATCCGTGGACATTAAGAAGCGCTCACATTCGTCAATAACAAATTGTATCTCAAACTTGTCGCCCAGTTCCAAAAGGAACTCCACATTGTCAGCTGGAAGAATTCTCTTAAAGTTTAGTCCAACGACTCGGAAAATTCACTCAAAGAAAGCGTAACAGCTAGATAGGGTGCATTTAGGTAGATAAATGAATCATAACTAGTGGGCTACTCAGAAACAGGTTCTGTTACACAACATTACTAATAGTTCAGAGCTGTTAGATAAAACAAAATTTTACAACAAAAAAAGTGGACTTACTGGAGACTGGCTTATGGCTAGGATAGACGACGTTGAGAAGTTCGACGAACTCATCTAGTATCACGTCTTCTACAGGTATTTCCCGTTTATCTCTTTCACTGAATTTACCGAAGAACAGCGCATAGAACACTGGCGAGTACAGTGAGAGGTACTGAAACAAATAAACCAGTTGGCATACCTGTATTGAGATACAAGTAACCTGAATTTGCTGCATATTAGATCCTAATGTACGTATGAGAAACCAGCCGCTGTTTGTTCATGTGCCTTTCACGAAAGGATTTCAGAATCTCAGTAGACACTTACAAGTGCAAAAAAAAAAACCGCCAGTACTACTACACAATAACCCACTTCCCTCTGTTTAACCTTTAATGATACTTACTGTGATCAGCAGAGTTGAATAAGCACCACCTATCGAACTCAACGAGAACGACGTTCTGCTATGGTTTGATTGAGGGAAAACTAACAAGGGAAGGATGGTAGGTCGAAGTGGCCATTTGAAATGAAATGTATACCGGCTGAAAGGTCTTCGGACGGGATTACGAAACCGTTTTCCATATCTGCTGCGGACCTCCCAGAAAGAAGTTACGGAGCTTTTTAGGGGGAGAATATTCGCATTCAGTACGAATTGGCGGCGTAAGGCTGATATGATCGTGGCAGCATGGCCGAGTGGATACGTCGTAGGGCTCACGAATGCGTGGTCGAGGGTTTGGATCCTTGATGCGTGTGCTCTTTTGCATTTTTTCGAAAGTGGTCCCTGTGCACTTCAAAGCTATTTTGCATAACTCTTGTGCCTTGTCATGACGTAAAGTTTTTGAACTGATGGAACCATGCGAACGATTCCATGGAGAACACTTCTGGCTGAAGAGATTGTCATACGAGCCGAAAACTACCAGCAGTTGCGAAGCCACTTTGGGGATAGTCATCATTTAACACTATGTGAGTGATGAATGAAGGTTTTGCCTATCGCGGTCTGCCCCAGCATGATTGCCACAATCTTGTCCCTCATTGAGCATTCCCCACTATGCTCATCTTCGCGCACAACTTCGTGCGGCTTCGGATTCGGTTTTCAGTCATGTCATTTGGAGAATAAAGTTTTCGGCTCGTATGACGTATGACGTTCAGCCAGGAGTGATCTCCATGAAATCGTTCGCAATGGCTCCACCAGTTCAGAAACATTACATCATGGCACTAACAGGCAAGGCAGCAGAGAGTTTATGTCAAAATAGCTTTTGAGTGCACAGGACACCACTTTCTGAAAAAAAGATGCAAAAGAAACACGCATCAAGGACGCCTAACCCTCAACAAACGCCATTCCGGGCACCAAGACCATCCACGTCGGCATGCTGGCGGCGATCAACGTCATCCTTACGCCGCCAATTCGTAACTGAAGCGCTATTATTCTTCCCCTAAAAAGCCTCCGTCACTTCTTTCTGGGAGGTGCGCAGCACATACGGAAGACGGTTTTGTAATACCCGTCCGAGACCTTTCCTTTGAGTCGGTATACATTTCAATTCAAATGGCCACTTCGATCTACCATCCTTTCCTTGTAAGTGGTAGTAGTTCACTTACCGTCTTGCTGACGTGCAATTTGACCCCGTCAATAACAAGTACAGCATCGGAGGTGTGAGGTTCTTGAGACAGAAAGTCGAAGTGAGGATTTTTCCTGGAATGAACATTCGCAGCATCATATTGTGACGAAATCAGAATGTCTTCAAAACGCCTTTACAAGATATCGGTAGAAAGAAGAGTATGCAGAGGTAAGAGAAAAGATAGGCCTCAATTCGGAGCTGATATTCCACACGTTGAATGGGTAGCAAATACATTGAGAATTATTACAGAATTAAGTGCCTACTGACTATACTATCATAATTTTGGAGTAAACACAATTGGAGTAGCTGTTGAAATTTTCAAAAGACCACTTACACTCGGTTCAAATAAACAGTTATAACCGTGATCAGCTAAAAAGAAAAGAAGGTCAAGGTAGGTGCGTGCACTCACCTCACTCCAACAACTTTCTGTACGGTAATCCGAGCCTCAACGACCACACGATCACCTTTCACATATCCTTTATCAACGTTGAGAATATCTCCCCACTCCATGAACGATGGAAATCCCCAGTTATTCGAGTTGAAGTTGAACTTATTAGTGAACTGAAATGAAAACATCAAAATACAAATTCAGTTCAAAATACATGAAAAAACCATGAGAGAAACTTGAATATAGAGAGCAGCTCTAGAGCGGTCGACAAATGCTCTGAACAGCTGAAGCATCTGTAAAGCTCCGAATAGATGTTCTCGCTGGACTGGCATGCATTTTTGAGAGAGGCTAATGTATGACCCTGTCACAAAGGAGAGCGCGCAAGTCACGCAATGCTCCGTTGCCGCTATTGTGTCACGGCATTTGGTCAGAATGGAACGTCATAGAACTCTTCAAAAAAGTACCTGTCGCGAGAAATGGGGAACATCAGGACGTTGCGAGAGCAGGCGGAATTCAACGATAGCGTCACAAGACCATAGGGTGCTTTCGCTTTCTGGGTTACAGTCGATGTACACGGAGAAAAACTTCACATGTGATGTTCGCTTTGTGCACTCCGTTTTTGCAGCTAAACGCCTGTAAAAGCAAAGTGAGCTTATGAGACAAATAAATAAGTAAATAAATACATAAACAATTAGAATAAATGAATTTATAAATAAATTTATAAATAAGAGTAAATGTCCTTCTCGAATCAAAGACTTTAAGAAGAGGAGAATCATCGCTTTTTCAAGTGCTATTTCAAAAGCAAGCGGAGGTGGTGTAGTGACAAGTGGCGCGCTTACCACTCGCGCGGTCCTGGGTTCGAATCCCAGGTCGACACCCGCCCAGGCCAACCAAGCCTTCTACCCTCCGGGGACGGTAAATTGGTACCAGATTCGTCTGGGAGGATAAAACACTGACTTGTACATCGGCTGGCCACCGCAAGTCATTGTATAGGCCACATCGCATTCAATAAGCCACTACGATTCTGAATGGAAGTAGAATGCGTGCCGCATCCCACAAAGGGATTGATCAACGGCGAAGACTTTATCCTTTATCCTTCATTTCAAAAGCGGACATCGGTAAAAGAGTTCATTTAATTCAAGAGAAAACGTGACAGATCACTAAAATTGCGCACGGATGCATTCGAGAATCGACTGCAAGCCGGGGTTGGGAATTTTGACTTCAAAGATTTTAAACGGCAACCTTTTCAAAAAGGAATTTTGTCTTTCATAACACAAAATTCTCGATGGACCTGTAATATGCACCCCTCGTTAAGAACTATACTTTGAATTGGTATTCTGACTACAGTTGCACGCTAAAATTCAGCAATGGGAGAGTTTATACAAAAACGCAAAAATGTTACTTGCTGTTCTTTTTTTTTTTTGCTCGCTATAGCGCCGATTTCTCTTCTTTCGCGAGGCTTCACCTTTCTTAAAAGACTTTTTCACTAGTTTTACGGTTCTCCCTCTGCTAAGTCAAGTGCCACAACCACGAAAGCCCTCTTGAGTTGATGTCACCCAACTTACACTCCTTATC